ATTCATTCACTACAGTATACAATATATGCATATTATTCTATGTACATGCCACTGCTCCTTCCCCTCTTTGATGTACATTAGGTACCTTGGGGGTATAATGAATGAAATATGCGCTTTACATCATCATTCTTTCAGTTCGGTTTATTAATTGACTCCCCTTGTCACATTTTGGGCGTTGAAAACTAACAAGTCTCACCGCTTAGATTACAAAAAGACGTTATTGTTACACGGATTTAAGGTATTAAATCGTTTCAAATGGCGCACCCGGTTCGTTTAAACATCGATCGATCGCGATGTGCGAACGCTTTAAGCGTGTAAGCCAACAGATCAAAGGACCTTTTTTTCTGGCAGATAACGAAACAAATATAAGGGCAGGAGGTGTAATCTGCAGATTTTAACTGAGGCTAGTGAACATGAAATAAAGAGTAAGCAACGAAAAAACTAATTGAAAGCGAGGGGGACTGAACGAACAATTTTCGTAACTGGCAGTCAAGCGTTTGGTCTCCTTGCGTAATTTTATGCGGGGACTGGCTCTTCTAACTACTGCCAACGTTCGAGTAAATGCAAGCGTATACTTTCTTTTTACGTCACAGAGAAATAGATGTACGCCGCGAAAACAGCTCAAACGAAAGCATGCACGCCCCTCTACCCCCCTCATGCTTCTCGCTTACAGAGGTGACGTCACAGCTACCGCTTACTGCGCCACTGGCCGCACTAGGCCGCCTCGAAAATGGGTCTCCGCACTTGAGCTATAAAATGGCGTCTATTAAGGTATAGCGCCGTTATCGCGAGGTTGAAGTGTCACAACGTCCCGGACGCAAATGGGGCCACAGCGTGGCGCCTAAAGATTCTTGAATCGCGTTATGGGGCTAACGCCGAATTTGAATCACGCGAATTTCACGCAAGGGCAAGCGCCTTGGACAGAAGAGAAGAGGATGATTATGTGGAAGTATACACACACACACACACACACACACACACACCACACACACACACACATATATATATATATATATATTATATATATATATATATATATATATATATATATATATATATATATATATATATATATAATATATATATGATCACCGTGATGGCTCATTGGGACAGGGTCGTTGCATGTGCGCGATTTCGCTGTACCAAATTCACCATTGTTTTGCGAGTGCATATAGTACGGGAATGCCGAGGTATGAGAGCATAAAACCAACCATAACTGCGGATGTACCGACCTATGTTTTTGAATGCGAAGCATTTCTGAGCGAACTTCGGCGACTTTGAGCGTATCTATCTATCTATCTATCTATCTATCTATCTATCTATCTATCTATCTATCTATCTATCTATCTATCTATCTATCTATCTATCTATCTATCTATCTATCTATCTATCTATCTATCTATCTATCTATCTATCTATCTATCTATCTATCTATCTATCTATCTATCTATCTATCTATCTATCTATCTATCTATCTATCTATCTATCTATCTATCTAGCTGCCTATTACTTATAGCTCTCCTGGCCATTTCGATAATGGTATCGATACCAAACTTGGTATGACATAACATGACTGTATGAAGAACATTGCTGACAAGTCATAGCATGAAAATCCTGACATGAATGTCATGAATGTCATGATTTACATTTCATGGTCCTGCAGCTGTTGCGGTGGTTTCGTTCACATGGCATGTTCCAAAACTGGTATGGTATGGCATGATTACATGACGAACACAAGCGACAGACCGTAACATGGAAATCATGACACGCGTGTCATATAACAACATGACTACATGCCACGCTCATTATGCGCTCGTGGCCGTTTAGTTAGCGTCAAAGATACCAAACTTGGTGTTACGGTACCTGAATGGATGACGAAGGTATGTGGCTGGTGCAAACATGACAACCATGAGATGCCGTGTCATGTAACAACATGACTACATGCCACGCTCATAATGCGCTGGCGGCCGTTTCACTAGCTTCACTTATACCAAATTTGGTATTACGGGACGTGAAGGGAAGACGAAGGTAAAATACGGGTGCAAACATGATACACATTAGATTCGTGTCATGTAACAACATGACTACAAGCTACGCTCATAATGCGCTCGCGGCTGTTTCGCTAGCTTCACATGTACCAAACTCGGTATTACGCGACGCGAACGGACGACATAGGTAAATGACACATCCGAACATGATAATCAAGACATGCGTGTCATGTAACAACATGACTACATGCCACACTCATGATGCGCTCGCGGGTGTTTCGACAGCTTCACATATACCGAATTTGGTGTTACGTGACGTCAATGGGAGACAAAATATATGACCGGTGCGAAAATGATAATCCTGGCAGGCGTTTCATGTAAGAACATGACAACATACCACGCTCATAGCATGCTCGTGGGGCGTTTCGCTAGCTCCACATATGTTAAATTTGGTATCACGTGACGTAAATAGATTACAAAGGTAAGCGACACATCCAAACATGATAATTATGACACGGAAGTCATCTACGGCATCATTTACCTCCACCTCGTAACGGTGTGCTGACTTTAAAGTCACATATCAACCTTTCTCATCGTGCTTCGCATATAATCGATCTGCCAATTTTTTCCCTTCGTCACACATTGTCTCACATCGCATCTGAGTTGTTAAGATTGGCTGCATATGTATTATGGCCGTACGTTGCGAATGAAACCAAGCAAAACTGCGATTACTTGAAGAGAAGTGAAACCATTTTTGAATCCCACTTCGTGCAACCACCGATGACCAGTGGAAGCACATGGCGCATCTGCGTGCTTACCGGCGACTCTCATCTTCCATTGAGCTGTCCGCGTAACCACAATGTTCACATACAAAATGTAACAAATTCAGGGCATAGAGGAGGTGCTAACCCGCCCCATCCCCCATTTCTACGCCAATGGAACCCAAGAGTAGCAGCATGGATGGATGGATGGATTGATGGATCGATGGACCCTTTAAATCGGGTGGCGGCTAACACCACCTAGCCGTAATACTTAGTGAACCAACAACTAGATTTATCTTTTTTTTCCCTTTAAATACTGAAGTTGAGGACTGGTACTTGTCAGTGAAGGGTTTAATTTTCACTCGTGCCTTGACTTTAGTCACCACTCAGGTAACCAGCTAATTCTACCCGCTTAAAGTCTATTTTGCCCTCCCTGTTTCTAAACCCCAGTGCGCCATCATCCTGAACTATAGGGTGAAGTCCTTTACAGAACATTATCAAGTGTTCGGCAGTTTCTTCCTCCTCTCCGCATGCACTGCATACCGTTTCTACCCCTTCGTATATACTCCTGTCCTGGCCTCAAACAGTAGAGAACTACCCCGAGTATTATCATAGATCCTTTCCTTGGTAATTTCCTGCTTAAAAGTTCGATAGATCTCTTGTGCGGACTCCTTAATCATGTCTCCGTTTCCTTCCCTTTCTTCTTAACCCCTAGTTCTTTTTGGGAATGAATAAAAGAGGCGCTAACTACGGGAAGCAGTGTAATGTTTTTTTTTATCTTCGCAAATGGTTTTTGCTATTAATGTTTGACCATACAGAACTATAGCGCCGGGGAACAATTTATGGGAAAAAAAAATTGTGAATACAGGGCTACACCACACTCTCAACATGTAGACCTGTTCTGTGTTTACCTTGCACCTCAGACAAGCGAACTGCTCCAGGCTTAAGAAAGTAGCAGCGCCCTTAACTACTCATCGTTGTTTACTATAGGCTAGTTCGTGAGCACGAATATAAGCTAATCTTTCGTGAAACCGACCGCTTATAGAAAATAACAGGACCCATGCGCTGGTAAAACTTGAAAAAAAGAGAAACTAGCAACGCCTTACGGCAGACGCATTAGCGCAACCCCTGATCTATGGCAAATAGTATTTGTGAATTCGTGTTTACAGTGCTGCATTATGCTACTTGTACAGCTTCATTAGAGAAAGTCATTTCTTAGTCGGATATCTAATGTATCTCTACCATATGCAGCTACATCATGTTCAGTGATCATACCCAAACTGTTCTACACACGTAATTAGAGTTTCAGACGCTTAAATCTTGATCATAAAAGAGTGCGCATAAACCACACACCACGTCCAATAAGTTTCGCCTGTTTTTTTTTTTTTCTGAAACAAACGTTTGTTGCAGTCCAGCAACGTCCAAACAGAGCGCTTCGAAAATAAATGTACGGAACGTAATATGTGCATTACGATGTTCACAACGTACGCGCTGTAACAAGAACCGTACTGCAACCGTCATCGGCGTGTCTCAGTGCATCAGCTTGCAAGCTTTACTGCCTGTTCGGAGCCATCATCACGATATCGTCAACGTAACTGTCAGCACAGTGACTGACTTGGCTACCCAACTTGAGGCATACATTTGGTGAGCCTTGTTGGCCAGTTTAACCGCAGCTTGAACGAATTGCTCAAGACAGCGAGATAATGGGACACACTTGTAATACAAAGAAAAGATAGAAAGAATTCATTGAAAATCAAGACGTCACGTCCTCGAAAACACGTCACCGTTCACATTCTCCAGCATGCATGCGTAATAATTAAGTTTATGCAGGCAACTGCGTAAACACGCACACACACAAAAAAAACGATGCAAACGATTCTAGACAATGTTACGCACATATATACATGCTATCAGCTATATACAAGTTTTGCTTCTTTTTGAAACACTGTGCCTTAGAATTAAATTTTAACTAAAAGATACCGTGCATGGCTATTAGCTTCAAACTCTCAGACCATGTTGGTAGCATTTGCGGCCACCTGTCGTTCTTGTATACAACAAATACGTCCGAAAAACGCATCTCTAACGCAACATAAACGCAACTCTAACGCTTATCTGAAAATAAATACCGCTCTTGCTGTAGGCGCTCTAGATGACAGCGCATATCTGGGTGAATACGCATGATTGCACGAAATGTCCAGTTATGGTGACTACATAGTTCCATCGTGACAGAGACGTTTAGAAGTAGAGACACCGTCGGGAGGTAGGCGCTCATGGGCGCGTCGTGGGCGCAACCGAAGGCATCGCCAAAGGCAGGGAAGCTGCTGACGGCCTTGTTGCAGTCTCTCATCGGCGGCTCGACTTTGTCCGGCAGGGAGCACATCAGGTAGCACAAGGTCAGGAAAAACATCTGCCCGGAACCGCAAGGTGAGAGTTATGTGATTGTAAAGGCGGTATACGTCCTAGCTCGATGCCGCGAAAGCGAAGGATCAGACTGGCATCGACATCTCTAGAATAATCGTAGTCGCGATAAGCTCAAGAACATACAACGCATTATCGGTGGACTCCTCGACATCTATACGTCAGATGGCCACGCATTTATCGTATACACATCATTAACTGGAAAGTGTGCTGCGTCGCTACTTCTAGTCAATAGGTGCACTAAAAAGCTGCCACTGCATGCAGTTCAGAAAACATTTATGCAAGACTGTGCAGTTTACGAATATGGTGTATATATAGGTATCAGAAGCTTAAACAGAACTTCTATGCAGCAGTCGGGTAAGTAAAGACGATGTGTGCCTGGTGCGCAACATTTTTTTCGTTCGAACGATTGATGCTAGTGCATTAGAATCAACAATATCAAACTCAGTCAACAGTTGAATACGACACAAATTATTATACAATGATTATTTCTGTCATCAACGTGCACGCTTTGATATCTGAAGTGCAGGACACACTTGCCGCGAGGTATCTTCGTGGTCAAAAATTAATAGACAAGATCAATCTAAATACAACAAAACAATAATATCTCGCAGTAAACGTGAAGCCTTATTTAGTGACTAATCGAGAGACATGCTTACAAGCATAAAGTACGCCTAGTTCATTTTTGATGAAAGTTGGCTGGGATGCTCACGTTAAATTTCTTTACAAGAAGTTTTCTTCGAGATAGGCCACGCATTAACTGAACCTTAACCTATACGGTGCCCTTCAATGGGGCACGACAGCAAAAGCAAACAAATCAAGTTATTGTTCTGCATTAAGCGGTACTCTGCCACCCTCTTGAAGTGTTCGGACCACTGCGTAAGGCGTTTCAAGAGCTAAAAAATACATAATATGCACCGGTAATATTAGCTCCTTTTTAACTGCTGTACTCGTCTTATTTTCGAAAAAAAGTAACTATTAAGCCATATTAGACTCTTATCGTGTAAAAGATGTGGTATGGTTACAGCACCGACTAGAATTGCCGGTACATGGTTCAATCTCTGGTTTCATGTAACTTAAAAATAACGAACGCAAGGATACAACGCTCCTAAAACGGTGAACACGTATGAATACACTATCTTTCGGAAATTTCCGGACACTCCGCTACGGCGTCTGTCATAACCACAATCATGATTTTTTGACAAAATACCAACAATTATTACTTTGGAATGAACAGTTACTTCTCATATGTCCTATCATATGTTTAAAGAAACTATTTTTCATGTAGACTGCCCATTCCCGAAACTGTTTTATTTTCTTACTCCTAAGTATCGTGCAAAGTAAATTAACGTGTGCATATATTGCAGTCAGCAGTGCGATTTCATTATGCCTTTACATTTTGTACAAATTAGTGTGCTCAGGTCAGTTGTGGTGTTGTATTGTACTCGTAGTTTGCTTGCTTCCATCTGTTGTTCATCGTTTGTGTGTCTGTGTGTGTGTGTGTTGGACAGCATATTAAGTACGCAGATATAAGAACTTTGTACAACTGCCTGAGCCTTGTCAACCCGTTACAGCATTCACACTAGCGGACTTTCTAGCTTATTGTCATGGCAAATAGGGGGGGGGGGGGGAATCCTGCGCACGCAGTTTTCAATTTTACCTGATCCTCAGTGTACTGGTACGCTACTCGCAAGTTCTTCTCTCCATCGGCGAGTGCCGTCTTATAGGCAGCGTAGGCGATCTGCAGCTCCGGAACCTCCGGAAACACGCTAGCGTGCTTCGGCATCAGGCACGCCGCTCTGTTATGCGAGCTCGCAATAGCTGCGGCGGTCAGCCACAAGTCGGTGACGTTACCGGAAAGGTCGCCCGTCTTACGAGACACGTCGGCCTCCCTTCCGGTCAGGTCTATCGTCACTCCCGTATCGTCGATGGCCCTAACCAGCTCCTTGGCAAAGAAGAAGCCGAGGCCCGCATAGAACATAGACTTGGTCCCGTTCGCGTAGTAGAAAGGACTCGTCAGGGCAGCTACCGACGTGAACACGCTGTTCGAGATGTAATCATAGTCGAACAGAGGGAGCTGGTAGCCGACCAAAAGACTTGGCAAGTTGTTATAGCCGAAGTTTCGGTGCTTGAGGTCAGCGCTCAGCTTTTGCACTGCAATCCAGGTACCCAGAAATGAGTTCCACTTGCTCGGAAACTGGGCGTACATTGCGGAGAGACCGGTCTGGCTGAGCATGATCAGCGGCGGCCACAGGTCGCGGCTCGCGTCGTGAATTTTCATCCGGAGTAGCTCTCTGCTGTAGTTATCCATCCAGAGAGCGCCGTTTATCATCGACCCTGCCGTGTCGACGACGGCGTGCAGTTTCTCCGTCACTGCTTTTTTCGTTTCGGCACTGAAGCGTGAAACGACGTACAACGCGGCTACCAGCGGCTGGAACGCCTTTTCCACCTCTGTGGCGCACAGCGCGATTCGAGCAGCCACCGCATTACTTTCTCCGAACTTTCGCGACAGCAGCTTGTCGTCCACTAATGGCCCGTAGATGTCCGCGAAGAGCCAGCCAATCTGCTCCAATACGTCATACCTTGTGTACCGGTCGAAAATGGCGCGTATAGCCGAGCTGATGTCGATGCCGTTAGCGAAAACTTCGTCAGTAGGAGCGAGGCTTTCCGGTGGTTTGAGGTGCCTGTTGAGTTCAGAAAGCCACTCGGATGCAGGAACCTTCACGGTTAACTTGTCGAACTGTTCGATCTTAAAACGGGAACGAAATGCGTTCCGCTTGGCTTGACTCGCCGTGGCATTGGAGAGCACCGCCAGGACGAAGCTCTGCATCCGCGCCGATGGCTTGGCTCCGAAATCCCCCGCACCTCTCGGCTTCGGGTTCTTGTGTGAAGCGCTACTGAACGAATCGTAGTAGGCTTGCCAGTACTCTTCGTAGCCGCCAACGGCAGTGAGGCGCTCATGTCGCCTTGAAGCCGGTACGACGTATTGTCCTGGCCCGATTACTACGACGCGAACGCTACTTGTGCTGACGAGTCGTATGCTGAACCAGAGAGCTGTGTGGTAGTTATACGCGAGGTTTATGAGAACGCCCAGGGGACTGACCCCCGTGGCTGGACGATCGGGCCACGGTATGCCTAGTTCTGCCATGAACTTACGCAGCAACGTCATTTCAGAGCCGTCGGTGTGATTCACGCAAGCGTCGTACATAACTCGAGCTCGGTCACCTGTTGGAACCCTCTGCGTGCCGGCGTCGATCGTGTATGGAAGATTCATCAACCACTCAGACACCGCGTCAGCGTGCGCAGAAGGGTGCAGGCCTGTAACTGACCGGGCCACCAGCGACCGCCGGTGCTCCCACGCACTGCACACGCGGGCGCTGAAGTCGTTGCAAGGGTCCAGCGCCGTGTCCATGTCGGCAGTGATCAACGCCGCGTGTAGGCGGCAATCCTCAGTTTCGCATACCACACTTCCATTGTTAGCAGACCGGTGCAAGCTGATCACGATGAACACTAACGACAGCAGTATGACGAAGCTAGCGAAGCACAAAACGCACGGCTTGCAGTTCTGTCGCTGTGTCCTCTGCTGGCTCTGCATGCCCGAAAGACTGCAGGCAACCTACGAAGAAATGTGGAAGTGGTGGTCAGCGCATGGAAAAAAATATCTCTTCCTCGTCTTACGATGTGAGAAATCTTGGCAGGACACTTATTGCAATATATGGTATGATAATACGCTTGTTATCGCTATTGCATAATAGGATTGGAGCGACCGCATCAATAGTTTAAATAGACGGATTTAGAAGCAACCTTACGACAATCAGTTGCAACATTACTAGGAGCACTTTTTGGCCCAACTTGCCTGCCAGCGTTGATCGAGTCCCACGATTTCGTAAACGACTCCGCCAGTGCGTCAGCGTGAAGCATGCGAAAAATCAGTTGCAGTTGATGAGCGTAACTTATTGTGGCGGGGTAAGAAATAAAAGGCACCAGTCATAATTCAGGGATGAGGTGCGTATGCGTAACCAACGTCTCCTAACTTCACTAATTATTCAGTCTAGAATCAATATGCTCGCCCATAATGAATTCCATTTTACTCACCAAATGGTCGACTTTATCGAATTGTGGTGACTGCTGGAGGTCGGCTTTGGCCACAGCACTGAGCTCTGTCGCGCTCCTGGGATGCTCGTCGAATGGAGCTGGTAGGACGCACATTAAGGCGGGCGTCGGTTCCTTCGTGGTTTCCGTACGCTGCTGGGCTGCGACGCTTTCCCGAATGACATCTTGGTCGCTGCCGACTCGCTGCGGATTCAGCGACTCGGAAGCCGTCCCCGCGACATTCTGACGCGCTGGGTTTGCTGCATACTCGGTTGCTTGATCCGCTGCTGTCTTCTGTGCAGGATATTCCGGCGGGAAGCAAGAGGCTTCTACCGGTGTAACCTCCGGCTTGCCTTCGGCTCCCGTGTCCCCTACGAGAATCGGGCCAGTAGACGCCGTGTCATGCGAAGGCTTTTCATTCGCCTTAGCCATTTTTGACGAGACTCTAGACAACGTCGACCGTTTCGACTCCACCGACTTGACACTCGCGCTGTCACTCACTCTCGATGACACCTTCGAGAGCGTGGTATCTGCCGCGTCTCGCTGGCTCTGGCACACCGATGTGGAGTCGGCGCTCTGGCGCGACTTCATTCGCGACCGGCTGCCACGCCTGCCTCTCTTGGATCTCGAATAGGCGACGCTGTCGACTCCGCTGTCGATGGCGACGTCTTCATTATTGGTCGCCGGTACCTTGTCCTGCGCATCTGACATGATGCCGTGCGTGGTTCGCCAGGTTGGATGTCTTCTTCTTTGTCGGCACGAGCTTCAAAGCGATGGAACCTCGTGGCCCACTTTTTCTTGTTCACCTTCTCGTGTGGCTCATACCCACTGTGCCCAATTCCCCACTGCGGGTATGAGCCACAAGAGAGATAGATGAAAAGGATGACCACCAAGTTGACCAGATATTGTAACGATGTTGAAGGACTCGGGGTGTAATAAAACGTATTTATTAAAGGGCGAACCTGTGCCCACAACTCAAAGGGACTATATGGTCGTAGCACGTTACAGCAGAACACCAAAGATGTCTTCTTCTTCTGCTTCTTCAAGAAGAGTCCCAAGCGCGTGGCGCGCATCAGCAGGGGCCAGCTGGGTTCTCGTGCCATCATCATCGTCTCTGCGCAACACTAGACGGCGCGCATGTATGTCCCTGTGCGCGTGGTGATGGGCGCGTTGTTTGAATGCAGGCACTATGTCGCGGCATAATCCCCCTCCTCATACGCATCGTCCCGATGCGTCAGGCAATGAATAGATTGTCTGATCCGTCCGTCCATGCGTCCGTCCGTCCGTCCATCCGTCCGTCCATCCATCCATCCATCCATCCATCCATCCATCCATCCATCCATCCATCCATCCATCCATCCATCCATCCATCCATCCATCCACCCATCCATCATCCATCCACCCATCCATCTAGCCGCCTACGACTTTTAGCTCTCCTGACCGTTTCGATAATGGTATCAATACAAAACTTGGTATGGCATAACATTACTGTATGAAGAACATTGCTGACTAGTCATACCATGAAAATTCTGACATGGATGTCATGAATGTCATACACTTCATGGTCCTGCAGCTGTTGTGGTGGTTTCGTTCACATGGCATGTTCTAAAACTGGTATGGTATGGCATGATTACATGACGAACACAAGCGACAGACCGTAACATGAAAATCATGACACGCGTGTCATGTAACAACATGACTACATGCCACGCTCATTATGCGCTCGTGGCCGTTTAGTTCGCGTCACAGATACCAAATTTGGTGTTACGGTACCTAAATGGATGACGAAGGTATGTGATTGGTGCAAACATGATAATCATGAGATGCCATGTCATGTAACAACATGACTACATGCCACGCTCATGATGCGCTGGCGGCCGTTTCACTAGCTTCACTTATACCAAATTTGGTATTACGGGACGTGAATGGATGACGAAGGTAAAATACGGGTGCAAACATGATATACATTAGATTCGTGTCATGTAACAACATTACTACAAGCTACGCTCATTATGCGCTCGCGGCTGTTTCGCTAGCTTCACATGTACCAAACTCGGTATTACACGACGCGAACGGACGACATAGGTAAATGACACGTGCCAACATGATAATCAAGACATGCGTGTCATGTAACAACATGACTACATGCCACACTCATGATGCGCTCGCGGGTGTTTCGACAGCCTCACATATACCGAATTTGGTGTTACGTGACGTCAATGGGTGACGAAATATATGACTGTGCAAACATGATAATCCTGACAGCCGTTTCATGTAAGAACATGACAACATACCACGCTCATAGCATGCTCGTGGGGCGTTTCGCTAGCTCCACATATGTTAAATTTGGTATCACGTGACGTGAATAGATTACAAAGGTAAGCGACAGATCCAAACATGATAATCATGACACGGAAGTCATGTGCGGCATCATTTACCTCCACCTCGTAACGGTGTGCTGATTTTAAAGTGACATATCAACCTTTCTCATCGTGCTTCGCATATAATCGATCTGCCAATTTTTTTCCCCTTCGTCACACATTGTCTCACATCGCGTCTGAATTGTTAAGATTGGCTGCATATGTGTTATGGCCGTACGTTGCGAATGAAACAAAGCAAAACTGCGATTACTTGAAGAGAAGTGAAACCATTTTTAAATCCCACTTCGTGTAACCACCGATGACCAGTGGAAGCACATGGCGCATCTGCTTACCGGCGGCTCATCTGCCATTGAGCTGTCCGCGTAACCACAATGTTCAAATACAAAATGTAACGATATCAGGGCATAGAGGAGGTTCAAACCGGCCCCATCACCCATTTCTACGCCAGTGGAACCCAAGAGTAGCAGCATAGATGGATGGATGGATGGATTGATGGATCGGTGGACCCTTTAAATCGGGCGGTGGCTAACACCACCTAGCCGTAATACTTAGTGAACCAACAACAAGATTTATCTTTTTTTTTCCCTTTAAATAATGAAGTTGAGGCCTGGTACTTTGCAGTGAAGGGTTTAATTTTCACTCGTGCCTTGACTTTAGTCACCACTCAGGTAACCTCCTTCTAGCTAAATCTACCCGCTTGAAGTCTATTTTGCCCTCCCTGTTCCTAAACCACAGTGCGCCATCATCCTGAACTATAGGGTGAAGCCCTTTACAGAACATTATCAAGTGTTCGGCAGTTTCTTCCTCCTCTCCGCATGCAGTACATACCGTGTCTACCCCTTCGTATTTGGCCCGATATGTCTTGGTTCGCAGTACTCCCGTCCTTGCCTCAAACAGTAGAGAACTACCCCGAGTATTATCATAGATCCTTTCCTTGGCAATTTCCTGCTTAAAAGTTCAATAGATCTCTAGTGCGGACTTCTTAATCATGTCTCCGTTTCCTTCACTTTCTTCTTAACCCCTAGTTCTTTTTGGCAATGAATAAAAGAGGTGCTAACTACAGGAAGCAGTGTAATGTTTTTTATCTTCGCAAATGGTTTTTGCTGTAATGTTTGACCATACAGAACAATAGCGCTGGGGAACGATTTATGGCAAAAAAAAAACATTTTGTGAATACAGGGCTACACCACACTCTCAACATGTAGACCTGTTCTGTATTTACCTTGCACCTCAGACAAGCGAACTGCTCCAGGCTTAAGAAAGTTGCAGCGCCGTTAACTACTCATCGATGTTTACTATAAGCTAGTTCGTGAGCACGAATATAAGCTAATCTTTCGTGAAACCGACCGCTTATAGAAATAACAGGACCCATGCGCTGGTAAAACTTGAAAAAAAGAGAAACTAGCAACGCCTTACGGCAGACGCATTAGCACAACCCCTTGATCTAGGGCAAATAGTATTTGTGAATTCGTGTTTACAGTGCTTTATTATGCTACTTGTACAGCTTCATTATAGAAAGCCATTTCTTAGTCGGATATCTAATGTATCTCTACCATATTCAGCTACATGGTATTCAGTGATCATACCCAATCTGTTCTACATGTGTAATTAGAGTTTCAGACGCTTGAATCTTGATCATAAAAGAGTACGCATATACCACACATCACGTCCAATAAGTTTCGCCTGTTTTCTCTGAAACAAACGTTTGTTGCGGTTCAGCAACGTCCAAACAGAGCGCTTCGAAAACAAATGTACGGAACGTAATATGAGTAATACGATGTTCACAACGTACGCGCTGTAACAAGAACCACACTGCAACCGTCATCGGCGTGTCTCAGTGCATCAGCTTGCAAGCTTTACTGCCTGTTCGGAGCCATCATAACGATATCATCAACGTAACTGTCAGCACAGTGACTTATTTGGCTAGCCAACTTAAGGCATACATTTGGTGAGCCTTGTTGGCCAGTTTAACCGCAGCTTGAACGAATTGCTCAAGACAGCGAGATAATGGGACACACTTGTAATACAAATAAATATAGAAAGAATTCATTGAAAATCAAGACGTCAAATCCTCGAAAACACGTATCCGTTCACATTCTCCGGCATGCATGCGTAATAATTAAGTTAAAGCAGGCAACTGCGTAAACACGCACACACACAAAAAAAAACGATGCAAACGATTCTAGACAATGTTACGCACATATATACATGCTATCAGCTATATACAAGTTTTGCTTCCTTCTAAAACAGTGTGCCATAGAATTAAATTTTAACTAAAAGTTACCATGCATGGCTATTAGCTTCAAGCTCTCAGACCATGTTGGTAGCATTTGCGGCCACCTGTCGTTCTTGTATACAACAAATACGTCCGAAAAACGCATCTCTAACGTAACATAAACGCAACTCTAACGCTTATCTGAAAAGAAATACCGCCCTTGCTGCAGGCGCTCTAAATGAGAGCGCATATCTGGGTGAATACGCATGCATGATTGCACGAAATGTCCAGTTATGGTGACTATACTATAGTCCCGTCGTGACAGAGACGTTTAGAAGTAGAGACACCGTCGGGAGGAGGCGCTCATGGGCGCGTCGTGGGCGCAACCGAAGGCATCGCCAAAGGCAGGGAAGCTGCTGACGGCCTTGTTGCAGTCTCTCATCGGCGGCTCGACTTTGTCCGGCAGGGAGCACATCAGGTAGCACAAGGTCAGGAAAAACATCTGCCCGGAACCGCAAGGTGAGAGTTATGTGATTGTAAAGGCGGTATACGTCCTAGCTCGATGCCGCGAAAGCGAAGGATCAGACTGGCATCGACATCTCTAGAATAATCGTAGTCGCGATAAGCTCAAGAACATACAACGCATTATCGGTGGACTCCTCGACATCTACGTCAGATGGCCACGCATTTATCGTATACACATCATTAACTGGAAAGTGTGCTGCGTCGCTATTTCTAGTCAATAGGTGCACTAAAAAGCTGCCACTGTAGTTCAGGAAAACATTTATGAAAGACTGTGCAGTTTACGAATATGGTATATATAGGTATCAGAAGCTTAAAAAGAACTTTTATGCAGCAGTCGGGTAAAAAAAGGACGAAGTGTGCCTGGTGCGCAACATTTTTTTGTTCGAACAATTGATGCTAGTGCATTAGAATCACCAATATCAAACTCAGTCAACAGTTGAATACGACACAAATTATTACACAATGATTATTTCTGTCATCAACGTGCACGCTTTGATATCTGAAGTGAAGGACACACTTGCCGCGAGGTATCTTCGTGGTCAAAAATTAATAGATAAGATCAATCTAAATACAACAAAACAATAATATCT